GCTAAAGTTTATGGTTCGCGAGAGTTTTACTTCTGGGTAACCATGATTAGGTTTCGGGTTATGTTGGCAAACCATCTAATGACAGAATATTATACTTTTAGGCAACATAAACTACAGACGCGGGCGCACCAAGAATGATAATTTCCAATGACAATGTAAGAATTCTAAGAAATTACTCACAGGATTGTGACTCACCGAAGGTTTACACACTTTGCAGAAAAGGATAGAACCTTAATCCGTCCGACACGGTGTGGGTGGAGCTGCCGTGAACCCACTTGCTCTGGGAGACCTGTAAAGTTACGAAGAGGCTATGTATCCTGCCCGGCACTTGTTCAAGGTATTAGAAAGTAGCAGCCTGGTCTCATAGAATAGACGTAAGATAGTAAAAATAAATCCGGGACTCTCAAATTATACTGTACAAAAAACATGTAAAGTGTTGGTCCCATGTTTCATGAGCTGAAATAAAAGAGCCCAGAAATGTTCCATATGCACAAAAAGCTTGTTTCTCTCAAATGTTGTGCACAAATGTGTTTACATCCCTGTTAGTGGGCTTTCTCCTTTGCCAAGGTAATCTAAAATGTGCAGTTTTGTCACACAACACAGATGTCTCAAGTTTTGAGAGAGTGTGCAATTGGCATGCTGACTGCAGGAATGTCCACCAGAGCTGTTGCCAGATAATTGAATATTCACTTCTCTACCATAAGCTGCCTCCAATGTCGTTTTAGAGAATTTGGCAGTACGTCCAACCAGCCTCACAACCACAGACCACGTGTAACCACGCCAGCCCAGGACCTCCACATCCGGCTTATTCACCTGCGGGAACGTCTGAGACCAGCCACCCGGACAGCTGATGAAACTGAGGAGTATTTCTGTCTGTAATAAAGCCCTTTTGTGGGGAAAAATGTATTCTGATTGGCTGGGCCTGGCTCCCCAGTGGGAGCCCTCCCAGGCCCACCCATGGCTGCGCCCCTGCCCAGTCATGTGAAATCCATATATTAGGGCCTGATTTATTTATTTCAATTGACTGATTTCCTTATATCAACTGTAACTCAATAAAATCGTTGAAATTGTTGCAAGTTGTGTTTATATTTTTGTTCAGTATAGTATGATATGTTACGTTTGGTATGGTTACATAAGACAGAAGGTTACTTACTTCAGGCAAAAACGAAAGTAGGGCGGAGGGCATATAATGGGAACGTCTAGTAACCTAAAGGTTGTGTGTTCGAATCTCATCACGGATCTTAGCATTTTAGCTAGTTAGCAACTTTACAATGAATTACTACTTTTTCGCTACTTTGCAACTACTTAGCATGTTAGCTAACCCTTCCCCTAACGCTAACCTTAACCCTTTAACCTAACGCCTAACCTTAACCCTAACCTTAACTCATAACCCTAACCCTTAGCCTAGCTAGCCACCTAGCTAATGTTAGCCATCACAAATTGGAATTCGTAAAATATCATACGTTTTCCTTAATCATAACATATTGTAAGATTGTAATTCCTAACATATCATAAGCAATGGATGATGGAAATCCACAAATTAATACATACCATATGAAATGTAACATATCATACTAACTGGAGTGCACAATGTATAGGACATCTTCCAATAATGACTCAATAACTGAATGATCAATTATTTTCCATAGGTTCCTTGGATCATAGTCCTAAATCATGATAGCTGGTAATTTTTACAGGGTGAATTTGGTGTCCATGCTTTAATTGACATGTCTTGCACTATTGTATAATTTCCATCACTTAGCATTTCAACTGGTCTCCTTGATGATGTCTATGGTACCTCCAAGAATCAGGATGGCTGCCCTTCGCAGGTGCCATCTAGCACCAACCCCTGCTACAGCTCTGAGGCAGTGAGCCAACACCAGGCACAGGGAGGGAGTGACATCCAGCAGGAGATCTATTCCAGGCCTAACAGCCACAGATTAACCCCTGGTTTGGGAGATGATTGCGTCAGGTCCCTCTAATCTTGTGTAATTGACAAGTGGAGTTAATTTACTTCAGCATCTTGTAACATAAGTAGGTGACCAGAGAAGGTTAGGTGGGTCTACACACTCTCTGTGAGTCTCTGTCTGTCTCTGAGCGCACTATGCTGTAGATTAACTGCAATGATTTATAAGGGGGTTTATAAGGAATTTATACTGTTAATTGTAAGTTTATTGATTGTTTTCTAACTGTTTATTACAGATTTATAAACTATGGTTGAAATTGTGTGACTGTCACTGGAGAAAACCCCCAGATATCTAAATCCTAGTCAAGTGGAGAGATACAGAGCTTGTGGCCGATTTTCATCCACCAGAGGATGCTATTGCCTTCTGTAGCTCACACATCTAACTTGAGGACCTCTCTCTACATTTGTCCAGTTCCAAATGTAAACTAGTCCCTACTAGACACAACATCTGAAAGGACTGGCCATGTGTGTAAGCAATATGATGAAAATTACACCTATCATTTATGCACTAATTGTCTACACAAACTCCATTCATTAGTGTAGTGGTCTTCAATCATGATTCGAAATACCCACAGTGTGTGCAGGCTTTTGCTGTAGCCCAGCACTAACACACCTGATTCCTCTAATAATATCAACTAACCCCTTGATTAGAATCAGATATGTTAGTACTGGGATGGAACAAAAGCCTGCTCAGTGGGTCTTCAGGGACAGGATTGAAGAACACTGCATAAATGGGATCAGAATGAACTATATCAGTATATCTTTACACCCTTTCACGCCTTCCAGACAGGCACTAAACTACTGTACCAGAGTTTGTACAGTAAATCACATCTTTGAGTGGGTTTGGCCATAGTCTGTGATAGTAAAACAGCTGAACGTTGCATCAGAATGCAGAGCAGTTACTGAGGTCTTACATCATAATACCCCCACACTGTGAACCGCTTCCTCAAAGCAGAGAACTCAGATTTGAGAGAAAAGTTAAGGCTTGCTGAAAAATTGTCTCTTGGGGATAAGGTGTCTCTTGGGGATGCTCCTCGGCTTCAATACATGATAACTTTGAGCTTTAACCCCCCCCCCCCCCCCCCCCCCCCGGTGCACGTTTTGGCTTTTGCCCTAGCACTACACAGTTGATTCAAATAACCAACTCATCATCAAGCTTTGATTATTTGAATCAGCCGTGTAGCGCTAGGGTAAAAACCAAAACATGAACCCCTGGGAGGCCCCAGGACCGAGTTTGGGAAACACTGTTCTAAATTGATGGTTATTTTACGGATAAAATAACTAATGGTTCTCGCAAACAAAAAAATTATTTATTTAATACATAAAACATGTTTTTTAACTCCCTTATTAATGAGTTAATTTAATTGAATAAGTGAAGCTAAGGTGCCGAAACCAGTTTTTCTCATGAATACTTATTTTCACCCCTCCATGATCTGTGTCTCCACCCCTATGCTACGTGTTATTTCTGGATGTGGAAACAAGGCAGGCCGTCACAGGAAGCTGGACAACATGGAGACGGATGCACATCCTGTTCCACTGCCCCTTTTTCCTACTGTATGTTGATGGGATTCCCATGCTGCTATTGTTGCTATTTTTACATGCATCTTCACATGCAATAATGTGCAGGCAGTGACCAAAGTGAGCTATGAAGTCCTCTGTGATGGTATATATAATCCAGTCATCCAATAATGATAGAGAACATTGTGTTTCCCTTTGCCTATAAAATCTTAGTTGGAGACCGCACTATATAGCCCTTTATATACTGTACACAGCCTTACCACAATGAAACCATTCACGGACTGGTCTGTAAGAATGTGTAGAAATGTGAGGAAAAGCCACAAGATGTTATCAACCATTACAGTATCTAAAGGTCTGTTCCATCAAGTTCACCATTATGTATCTCCCATCTGCCGTTAATCAATAACAGTGAGTTTGAGTTTAATAGAATATATCTGAACTGTGCAGATGTTCAAAGTCCCATCTCTTGGTGAGCTTTAGAAAGAGCCTTAGCAGCAGAGTTAATTATAGCTGCCTAACCCCATCTGCATGCAAAACCAAACCAATGCTGCCCTCAAGCAGTATATCAGGCCAACCCGTTCTCATGAGACAAAGAGCCAGTGAGGAATTTAGTTATATAATACAAAAGCACTAAACATGTAGCTGAAAGCTATGCTTTTAATGGTGAGGTTGGAGATGTGGTGTGGGGTTACTTTTTTCATCCTCAGACGAATGATGGTTCTATGTAAGTTGTTCTTTAATCTAAACATCAACAGAACATGCTTCTTATACATAGCCTTTTCACTCTAGCAGTGCTGAGGCGTAGCCAATGTAATGTGACCTAATTTCTAACATGATGTCACAAATTCCTTGGCACCAAACACTGGGCTACTGTGGCATGTTGAGTGATTTCCTGAACTTTATTGCTGTTCAGTAGAAACACTACTATGTTTTAGAGTGCCTAAATGAGTGCCTTTTAGACAGGGAATAATCGGATATACTGCAAGTCCACAGAGAAAGAATTGTGCCCATTTTAGGGAAAAGAGAGTCAAACTAAATTATGTGCAGTTAGACACCAGGGCATGGCTAGGCATTGAATGGACACATCCCCCTCCTGCATCCCACGCTACCAGCCTCGCAAATCAGACAGACACAGCCAAAACTTTCACAACTAGCAAGCAAACTTTACTAATCATAACAATTATAATACCGAACTACTTTCTACACCCTAAAAATAATTATTCTTCAGCCTCATGGAAATTGAGATTTTCAATGACCTACTTAGAAAAGTTTCAACCTGAACTTTTGAACTTCTCTGCAGCTCTGTTTTGCAGTAGGGCTATGGTAAATAATGTTGCATGGTCTAAAACTGTGTACAGTATATTATTACAGTAGCATCATTTTAGAATACAGAACTATGAACTTTACAGAAACTCTGCCAGATGTCTGTCTGCAGTGTGAATGAGAGCTCAGTGTGTCTCAGGCTTTAGGACCTGGAGGGGGAAAGTCCCTCTTCGCATAGCTGCTCCACAGTAACAGGATACAGCGGGAGGGCCCAGCTCAGCTCACTGTGCATAGAAAATCACTGCACCTCATTTAAATACTCCTTTTCCCAACTTCCAGAAATTAATTTCCCACGGTTTATAGACCAGCTGAAGATCTGTCCGTGTGGAAGCTGAGAGAGAAACTAGAGTAAAACTGCTGAAAGAGCCTGGTAAGTTAAAGGGGGATGAGATGGGAGTGAGAGGGGAAGGGATATTCACTGAACTGTGTTAACTGCAGGAAAATGTCTGACCAGGAATGTGAAAAGTCCCTCCATTTTGGGTTTAGGGTTATAAAATGCCTTTAGAGAATGTAGTGCTGCATTAGAATACAGCTTGATGTCGTTGAGCATTTTGTAGGCCAGCTGAATGGAAAAGATGCATGCATGTGAAAAGTTGTCAGGCTAAAACATACTTCTTCCTCCATCTTCAGTGTTCAGACTTAGTTAATGGATCACATAACAGTGAAAATGCTGTGATGATCAAATTAAAGTGATTGTCATTTGAGTGGCAATGCTGCTTTGAACTGTGCCATGTCTGTAGAGTAGGCCTATCTTATTAATAATGGCCCCACCCAGCAACATACTATTTGTGTTCTGATCTAACTCACAGTTTCCTCTGCCAGGGGGCATTGCTCTTTACTTGGTGGTAGAGCGTGTCGAGACTCGAGAAAGCATCCGATCGATTACGCAGAGGGAAATGAGCTGTGTAATTTATAAACATATGTTTAGACAGATATTAATGATGATGAAACTTGAAAATCCCTCCTCCTCTAGACTTTCTCTTACACTGTGGCAGTGCTGATTGGTCAGTTTTTTGTCCAATAAGTTGAGACCGTCTTTGCCAGCATTTGTACGTGCCAGGATGTTTCTTAGTTATGGCTTAAAAATACATTGAATTAAGGTGTGCTGTGATTTGAAATGATACATGCATGCAGAATCCAATTGATAGATATAATGCAAACTGAGAATGTATTGAAATCATCTGTACTTCCAACAAAACTTTGAAAAGCATCGTCCCTTTAGTACAGAAATGACAGCCTGAGTAAGCTGAAAGATCAAACTTTCTGTTAAGACAGTGAAACATTTGAAACCTCACACCTGCTTAAAAGGTCACTCATTCCAGGCCTCAGAGGATGCATACAATCCTTTTGTTTAGATTCTGCAGCTAAGTCTGATCCTGTTGCACACTTGTCTGTGTAGTCCTCCTGCAGGGCAAAAAAAAAAGTGATTGGTCCACCAGATGAAGCGAGAGCTTAATTGTAATATCGTAGGCGTTCTACAGCTGCAGTGTCAACATGGCTCTTGAGTCTTGCCTTGAACTTGACATGGTCAAACCTGCTCTCAGATTCTCCACCAATGAATTCTGGTCTATAATTACATTACAGACTGCATAATGAAAGCTTAGTATACCACACAGCATGTCCATTCTGCATCATCCAGGATTAATAAAGGAAGAGTGGTATCCCACTTGAATCTCAGCAAAGGGTTGGGGAAGTGCGTTATCTCCTTAACTTGTGCTATCACCGGCGAGAGCAATGAGAGAAGTCCCACAAAAGGTTTTCTGTTGTCAAAATCCAGGGCAAATTTCATTTAATTTGCCTCTGACATTAAGGATTTGAGACTCTGTTGCTCTGTAATTGCTCTGATGCTCTATAAGTAAATCCACTGTCAAAATCGAACACATAAATCCTGTCTGTTTTCATGTCCCCTCTCAGGTCTCTACTGATCGTTCTGACACTATGTGGGTGACTAACCTGGTAGCCATGGCCCTACTGGCCACCACAGCCTTTGCTGCTACTGCCGCCTCGGCAGACAAGGTCCTAAGCAACCACGCCACCCTGCTGGCCGACAACAGCGCCAGCCTGGCCTTCAGCCTCTACCAGAACATGGTCAAGGAGAAGGACCTGGAGAACATCCTCATCTCCCCCGTCGTGGTGGCCTCTTCCCTGGGCCTGGTGGCCCTCGGGGGCAAGGCCTCCACCGCCTCCCAGGTAAAGACCATGCTGAGTGCCGACAAGATGAAGGACGAGCAGCTTCACGCCGGCCTGGCAGAGCTCCTGGAGGAGGTCAGCAACTCAAAGACCCGCAACATCACCTGGAAGATCAGCAACCGCCTCTACAGCCCCAGCTCGGTCAACTTTGCAGATGCCTTTGTCAAGAGCAGCAAGAAGCACTACAACTATGACCACACTAAGATCAACTTCAAGGACAAGAAGAGCGCTGTGAAGTCCATCAACGATTGGGCAGCCAAATCCACCGACGGCAAGCTGCCCGAGGTCACCAAGGATGTGGAGAAGACCGATGGGGCCATGATCATCAATGCCATGTTCTTCAAACGTGAGTTCTCTCTTACAAAGCACCAGAATTTGGTAGATACTCTTCTCTCTTTTGTCTTGTTTTTTCATTCATTCACATATTTACTAATTTACAGTAAATTGTCTTTTACTTTCTATCTGAACAGCCCATTGGGATGAACAGTTCCACCAAAAGATGGTGGACAACCGTGGCTTCCTGGTGTCCCGCTCTCACACTGTTGGTGTACCCATGATGCACCGCACAGGTCAATCAATTACAACATGTCGCTCAACATAATATCATACAGTACATTTAAACTGAACTGGGGTGTTTTCATTTCAGTGTGAAGGAATATGTACAGAAATGCTCTAGAAATGTATCTGAGTCTGTACTCATACTGGCTGTACCTGCAGGTCTCTACGGCTTCCACGAGGACACAGTGAATAAACTGTTCATCCTGAGCATGCCCCTGGCCCATAAAAAGTCCAGCCTGGTGTTCTTCATGCCCTACCACGTGGAGTCCCTGGAGAGGCTGGAGAAGCTGCTGACCTGCAAGCAGCTGGACGACTGGATGGGCAAGCTGAAGGAGACGGCTGTGGCTGTGTCTCTGCCAAAAGTCAGCATGGAAGTCAGCCACAACATCCAGGTACTGTAAAAACCTAGACACAGGTCATTGGTGAAAACCACATTTATTAAACTGTTTATGCAACTGAGATGCAAGTTTGAATAACATGTTAGTATACACTATAACTATACAGTACACATCCCTGATGCTCTTAGGTGGCTGAACTCCTTTACAATAAAGATCACTTGCTTTCTCTCAATTCAATTCAATTCAATTTAAGGGCTTTATTGGCATGGGAAACGTGTGTTAACATTGCCAAAGCAAGTGAAGTAGATAGTAAACAAAAGTGAAATAAACAATAAATATTAACAGTAAACATTACACTCAGAAGTTTCAAAAGAATAAAGACATTTCAAATGTCATATTATGTATATACAGTGGGGAAAAAAAGTATTTAGTCAGCTACCAATTGTGCAAGTTCTCCCACTTAAAAAGATGAGAGAGGCCTGTAATTTTCATCATAGGTACACGTCAACTATGACAGACAAAATGAGGAAAAAAAATCCAGAAAATCACATTGTAGGATTTTTTATGAATTTATTTGCAAATTATGGTGGAAAATAAGTATTTGGTCAATAACAAAAGTTTCTCAATACTTTGTTATATACCCTTCGTTGGCAATGACACAGGTCAAACGTTTTCTGTAAGTCTTCACAAAGTTTTCACACACTGTTGCTGGTATTTTGGCCCATTCCTCCATGCAGATCTCCTCTAGAGCAGTGATGTTTTGGGGCTGTCGCTGGGCAACACAGACTTTCAACTCCCTCCAAAGATTTTCTATGGGGTTGAGATCTGGAGACTGGCTAGGCCACTCCAGGACCTTGAAATGCTTCTTACGAACCCACTCCTTCGTTGCTCGGGCGGTGTGTTTGGGATCATTGTCATGCTGAAAGACCCAGCCACGTTTCATCTTCAATGCCCTTGCTGATGGAAGGAGGTTTTCACTCAAAATCTCACGATACATGGCCCCATTCATTCTTTCCTTTACACGGATCAGTCGTCCTGGTCCCTTTGCAGAAAAACAGCCCCAAAGCATGATGTTTCCACCCCCATGCTTCACAGTAGGTATGGTGTTCTTTGGATGCAACTCAGCATTCTTTGTCCTCCAAACACGACGAGTTGAGTTTTTACCAAAAAGTTCTATTTTGGTTTCATCTGACCATATGACATTCTCCCAATCCTCTTCTGGATCATCCAAATGCACTCTAGCAAACTTCAGACGGGCCTGGACATGTACTGGCTTAAGCAGGGGGACACGTCTGGCACTGCAGGATTTTAGTCCCTGGTGGCGTAGTGTGTTACTGATGGTAGGCTTTGTTACTTTGGTCCCAGCTCTCTGCAGGTCATTCACTAGGTCCCCCCGTGTGGTTCTGGGATTTCTGCTCACCGTTCTTGTGATCATTTTGACCCCACGGGGTGAGATCTTGCGTGGAGCCCCAGATCGAGGGAGATTATCAGTGGTCTTGTATGTCTTCCATTTCCTAATAATTGCTCCCACAGTTGATTTCTTCAAACCAAGCTGCTTACCTATTGCAGATTCAGTCTTCCCAGCCTGCTGCAGGTCTACAATTTTGTTTCTGGTGTCCTTTGACAGCTCTTTGGTCTTGGCCATAGTGGAGTTTGGAGTGTGACTGTTTGAGGTTGTGGACAGGTGTCTTTTAAACTGATAACAAGTTCAAACAGGTGCCATTAATACAGGTAACGAGTGGAGGACAGAGGAGCCTCTTAAAGAAGAAGTTACAGGTCTGTGAGAGCCAGAAATCTTGCTTGTTTGTAGGTGACCAAATACTTATTTTCCACCATAATTTGCAAATAAATTCATTAAAAATCCTACAATGTGATTTTCTGGATTTTTTTTCTCAATTTGTCTGTCATAGTTGATGTGTACCTATGATGAAAATTACAGGCCTCTCTCATCTTTTTAAGTGGGAGAACTTGCACAATTGGTGGCTGACTAAATACTTTTTTTCCCCACTGTATACAGTGTTGTAACAATGTGCAAATAGTTAAAGTACAAATGGGAAAATAAATAAACATAAATATGGGTTGTATTTACAATGGTGTTTGTTCTTCACTGGTTGCCCTTTTCTTGTGGCAACAGGTCACAAATCTTGCAGCTGTGATGGCACACTGTGGTTTTTCACCCAGTAGATAAGGGAGTTTATCAAAATTGGGTTTGTTTTCGAATTCTCTCTCTCTCTCTCTCTCTCTCCTCTCCTCTTCCCTCTCTCCTCCCTCTCTCTCTCTCTCTCTCTCTCTCTCTCTCTCTCTCTCTCTCTCTCTCTCTCTCTCTCTCTCTCTCTCTCTCTCTCTCTCTCTCACAGAAACACCTTGGGGAGCTGGGTCTGACTGAGGCTGTGGATAAGACCAAGGCGGACCTGTCCAACATCTCTGGGAAGAAGGACCTGTACCTGTCCAACGTCTTCCATGCCTCTGCCATGGAGTGGGACACTGATGGGAACCCCATCAATACCAGCATCTTTGGCACCGATAAACTGAAAAATCCCAAGTTGTTCTATGCTGACCATCCCTTCATCTTCCTAGTGAAGGACACCAAGACCAACTCCATCCTCTTCCTTGGCAGACTGGTCCGACCTAAGGGCGAGAAGATGAGAGATGAATTATAACAACTTTGAGTCTTAGGTGAAGTGTTTTTGTATGCACGGGTGTTACAGTGTGTTTGTGTCTGTGTGTGTGTGTTTGTATTTTCCTATGCAAAGAGAGGAGAGGGAGAAAATGAATTGTACGTCTTATACCTCAAGAGTACATTCCCATTTGATCATTTATGTGCCAACATTCGTGCCTGTTGTTCACAATCCATGATTCAGAAATATATTTTTGTGTATTTTGTCCTGTGTTGTAAGAAACAAAGCATTGTGTACTCCAAATAAACATAAACTTCACCTTAACATGGTATCATCATCTAGCCTGCAATCCAAACTGAATATCATCCCGTTTCAAAAAAGAGAGCAATATTCAGTTTGGATTCCAGGCTAGTTAGTAGTCACCATCACAACGTGGCATGTTTGAGTATTTTAATTAAGGGCAGATCACAGGATGGATACTTACATTAAGTATGATCTCCCAGACTATTGCCTTAAATATAAAATCAGCATTCCTCTCAGGGTTTCCACTCCTATCTCTCTGTCTGTTAGTCTGGGATCCCAACTGAATGCATGCTCTGTTTCACTATTGTTTCACTTCACTTTGAATTCCAGACTATTTGTTTGTACCAGTTTACTTGAGATTAAGTCAACATCAAATTACTATTGTCGGGGTATTCAAATGTGCTGAGCAAGTAAACTGTTTCTGTTTTCTTTACAGGTTTTGCTATGATTACCGTGTACCCGTCACCAAATATAACATTTTTAGTTAGTGAAATTCGTGTGGGTTCCAATATCTTTAATGTTTAAAGTACAATTATTTTTTTCACAAGCTTTTTCACAATCTTACTACCTGGTGCTAGCCTATTGTTCACTCCCCCCAAAGCACATTAATCTATGACCCAGGGGACGCGCCTCTGTTTGTTACTCTGTTTGGCTTTTTACTGATCCGCACTGAAAGCACTGCTCTGTACTCTTTAGCTAACTAACCTCTGAGTGAAAGAACGAAAGGCGATATCTGTGGAAGACTTTTGATTGATCAGCCTAGCCCTGTCTCAACACTGTCACGTTTTGCCACAAAAAAATAAGCTTTTTTGGAACAATGGAATGGTATGAGATAGTTACAAGTTTTCTCTTTTCCAATAAAATTATAAAACAAAATAATGTTGTAATGTGACTTGGTTCGAGGGTGAACTTATGGTGACTACTAGGATGGAATGGCAGGGATTGTGAGGTCAAGCGCAGGAGCCAATAGGATTTTCCAACTGATTGGCCTAAAGGAATTCCAGCTATGGGACTTTAAAAAGTTCACAAGGAAGGACAGATGTGCTACCAGAGGAAATTCATACCTTTGAAATGTTATGCTAAAACACCATGTACTGTACTGTGAATGGCTTTGCATAACAGTGCATGTCATACTCTCCAGTGCCACATCTCCAAACCGTGACAACCTATGCATATGTCTATAGCTGCTACTGTGTCCGGATCATAGCCTTATATAATTATTGGTCAGACGGAGTGGGATGCCATAGGCAAAGAAGCCCACAGGATTCACACCATGGGCCAATTGAGTGTTATGGGATCATTCACATATTATTGGACCCAAGTTAGGTTTGCATCCTGCGGCTCTCTGTAAGATTATCAGGTCAGCCAGTTGTTGGCATTCAATGAGTTTCTCCTACACATTTTACATCTGACATTTTAGTCATTTAGCAGACGCTCTTATCCACAGCGACTTACAGTTAGTGAGTGCATACATTTACATGAAATATGTTGCTACTGTAGTAATTAATTAATGAGTTATTACACAGGTATAATAGCAAGTGTTTCCTAGTTGGTCAAAGGAGTAAATCTAAATCTAAGTCCATGTATTTTATAATTGTAATAGGCTCCATGCATGCCTATCTGTAATCATGTGGCACTTGGGATCATTTAGGTATCTCTCGCCATCTAGTGGCTTACATTGTAGGCAGACAAAATGTAACTCATGGGCACAATAGGCCTACTATGATTTATCCCTTAGATCAAGAATAAGTATTGTTTTGCTTACATTTATATTTTTAAAATTGCGGATAAAATGTATCCAGCATGCATTTGTTTCATACAAATTAAAATGATGAAAAATGCTTTTGACACATCAATCTCATGAAACGTGTTCTTTCAGGGCCTGGACATATTTTTAGTTTATTTCTGAGTGTTGTTGAGCATCGGTCCTGCAGGCTGGCTTTTGCATAAATGCACCATGGCACGAGGCCACAAGCCTCTGCTCCAAAGTAATCGGACAAAAAAATATCAGAAAAGATGGAGGGTTGAAACTAGGCGGTACGGGTACACTGCTTGAGTCACAGTGGTTACACCGAAGGGACTGGCAAAATGTTAGGGAAGGGGGATACGTAGTCAGTTGCACAACTGAATGCATTCAACCAAATGTGTCTTCCGCATTTAACCAAACCCCTCTGAATCAGAGAGGCGCGGGGGGCTGCCTTAATCGGCGTTCTTGCCATCGGCGCCCAGGGAGATGTTGTTGGCATTTAATCAACCATATTCAATCAATTTTATTTTTAAAATGTTACATCAGCAGAACTCACAAAGTGCTATACAGAAACCCAGCCTAAAATCCCAAACAGCAAGCAATGCAGATGTAGAAGCACAGTGGCTAGGAAAAACACCCTAGAAAGGCAGAAACCTAGGAAGAAACCTAGAGAGGAACCAGGCTCTGAGGGGTGGCCAATCCTCTTCTGAGTGCGCTGGGTGGAGATTATAAGAGTACATGGCCATTAAGGCCAGATTGTTCTTCAAGATGTTCAAATGTTCATAGATGACCAGCAGGGTCAAATAATAATCACAGCAGTTGTAGAGGGTGAAACAGGTCAGTACCTCAGGAGTAAATGTCAGTTGGCTTTTCATAGCCGAGCATTCAGAGAGAGTCGAAAACAGCATGTCCGGGACAAGGTATCACGTATGGTGAACAGGTCAGGGTTCCATAGGCAGAACAGTTGAAACTGGAGCAGCAGCACTATCAGGTGGACTGGGGACAGCCAGGAGTCATCAGGCCAGGTAGTCCTGAGGCATGGTCCTAGGGCTCAGGTCCTCTGGGAGGGGAGGGAAAGAGAGAGAATTAGAGGGAGCATACTTAAATACACACAGCACACCGGATAAGACAGGAGACTTACACCAGATATAACATTTTACCCTATCCCCGCAGCACATACAGTGGCTTGCGAAATTATTCACCCCCCTTGGCATTTTTCCTATTTTGTTGCCTTACAACCTGGAATTAAAATGGATTTTTGGGGGGTTTGTATCATTTGATTTACACAACATGCCTACCACTTTGAAGTCAATACTTTGTAGAGCCACCTTTTGCAGCAATTACAGCTGAAAGTCTCCTGGGGTATGTCTCTATAAGCTTGGCACATCTAGCCACTGGGATTTTTGCCCATTCTTCAAGCCAAAACTGCTCCAGCTCCATCAAGTTGGATGGGTTCTGCTGGTGTACAGCAATCTTTAAGTCATACCACAGATTCTCAATTGGATTTAGGTCTGGGCTTTGACTAGGCCATTCCAAGACATTTAAATGTTTCCCCTTAAACCACTTGAGTGTTGCTTTAGCAGTATGCTTAGGGTCATTGTCCTGCTGGAAGGTGAACCTCCGTCCCAGTCTCAAATCACTGGAAGACTGAAACAGGTTTCCCTCAAGAATTTCCCTGTATTTAGCGCCATCCATCATTCCTTCAATTCTGACCAGTTTCCCAGTCCCTGCCAATGAAAAACATCCCCACAGCATGATGCTGCCACCACCATGCTTCACTGTAGGGATGGTGTTCTCGGGGTGATGAGAGGTGTTGGGTTTGCGCCAGACATAGCGTTTCCTTGATGCCCAAAAAGCTCAATTGTAGTCTCATCTGACCAGAGTACCTTCTTCCATATGTTTGGGGAGTCTCCCACATGGCTTTTGGCAAACACCAAATGTTTGCTTATTTTTTTATTTAAGCAATGGCTTTTTTCTGGCCACTCTTCCGTAAAGCCCAGCTCTGTGGAGTGTACGGCTTAAAGTGGTCCTATGGACAGATACTCCAATCTCCGCTGTGGAGCTTTGCAGCTCCTTCAGGGTTATTTTTTGTCTCTTTGTTGTCTCTCTGATGATTAATGCCCTTCTTGCCTTGTCCGTGAGTTTTGGTGGGCAGCCCTCTCTTGGCAGATTAGATGAGGTGCCATATTCTTTCAATTTTTTTATAATGGATTTAATGGTGCTCCGTGGGATGTTCAAAGTTTCTGATATTTTTTTTATAACCCAACCCTAATCTGTACTTCTCCACAACTTTGTCCCTGACCTGTTTGGAGAGCTCCTTGGTCTTCATGGTGTCGCTTGCTTGGTGGTGCCCCTTGCTTAGTGGTGTTGCAGACTTTGGGGCCTTTCAGAAGAGGTGTATATATACTGAGATCATGTGACAGATCATGTGACACTTATTTAACTAATTATGTGACTTCTGAAGGTAATTGGTTGCACCTGATCTTATTTAGGGGCTTCATAGCAAAGGGGGTGAATACATATGCACGCACCACTTTTCCGTTATTTACTTGTTCAAATTTTTTCAAATACGTTTTTTTATTTTTTTCGCTTCACCAATTTGGACTATTTTGTGTATGTCCATTACATGAAATCCAAATAAAAATCAATTTAAATTACAGGTTGTAAATGCAACAAAATAGGAAAAACGCCAAGGGGGATGAATTCTTTTGCAAGGCACTGTACATGTTACAAGCGACCACCATAGTCCCTGTGCCCAAGAAAGTGAATGTAACCTGCCTAAATGACTACCGCCCCATAGCACTCACGTCGTTAGCCATGAAGTGCTTTGAAAGGCTGGTCATGGCTCACATTAACACCATCATCCCGGAAACCCTAGACCCACTCCAATTCGCATACCGCCCCAACAGATCCACAGATGCTGCAATCTCTATCGCACTCCACACTGCCCTTTCCACCTGGACATAAGGAACACCTATGTGAGAATGCTGTTCATTGACTACAGCTCAGCGTTCAACACCATAGTGTCCACAAAGCTCATCACTAAGCTAAGGACCCTGGGACTAAACACCTCCCTCTGCAACTGGATCCTGGACTTCCTGACAGGCTGCCCCAAGGTGGTAAGGGTTGGTAACAACACATCTGCCATGCTGATCCTCAACACGGGGGTCCCTCAGGGGTGCGTGCTTAGTCTCCTCCTATACTCCCTGTTCACCCACGACTGCGTGGCCAAGCATCATTACGTTTGCTGACGACACAACGGTGGTAGGCCTGATCACCGACAATGATGAGACAGCCTATAGGGAGGAGGTCAGTCACCTGGCAATGTGGTGCCAGGACAACAACCTCTCCCTCAACGTAAGCCAGACAAAGGAGATGATCATGGACTACAGGAAAAGGAGGGCCGAACACGCACCCATTCACATCGACGGAGCTGTAGTGGAGAGGGTAGAGAGTTTCAAGTTACTTGGTGTCCACATCACCAACAAACTATCATGGTCCAAACACACCAAGAACGTCGTGAAGTGGACTATTTTGTGTATGTCCATTACATGAAATCCAAATATAAATCCATTTAAATTACAGGTTGGAATGCAACAAAATAGGAAAAACGCCAAGGGGGGTGAATACTTTTGCAAGGCACTGTAGACTATTGCAGCATAGATACTGGAGGCTGAGACGGGGGGGGGGGGGGAACACTGTGGCCACGTCCGACGATGCACTCGGACAGGGCCAACCAGGAAGGATATAACCCCACCCACTTTGCCAAAGCACAGCCCCCACACCACTAGAGGGATATCAACAGACCACCAACTTACTACCCTGAGACAATGCTGAGTATAGCCCACAAAGATCTCCTCCACCGCACAAGACCGAGGGGGCGCAAAACCGGACAGGAAGATCACGTCTCTCATCACGTGACTCAACCCACTCAAGGGACGCACCCCTCCTAGGAACGGCATGGAAGAGCACTAGTAAGCCAGTGACTCAGTCCCCGTAATAGGGTCAGTGGCAGAGAATCCCAATGGAGAGAGGGGAGCTGGCCAGGCAGAGACAGCAAGGGCGGTTCATCGATCCAGTACCTTGCCGTTGACCTTCGCACCCCTTGGCCAGACTACATTCAATCATAGGA